GGGTTGCGATCCGTTGCCGGACACAGAAAAAGACAAAAAAGACAAAAAAAAAAAAAAGAATTTGTCTGGTCTTTATCCTGAGTTCCAGGGAGAGAGTTTCTAAAACACTGGAGTTTCCCAAGTGATAGGAGTGTCTTTGTTATTCCTGTAGAGCCCCTGAAAACCACACCTGTATCTATGCTAATGAGGTGACTCATGGTGAAACCCTCCTGGGTTTATGCTAATGCCCTGACTCATGATGGGCCTCTAGATATTCTCAGGTTGGAGGCTGGCTCTGCTAGAAAGACCAACCATGTGATTAGAGGGTTAGGGCTTTGAGCCACATGATATCAACTTGACCTCCAGGGAGGAGAGAGGGACTGGAGATTGAGTTTAAGCATGTCGTCAATGATTCAATCAATCATGCCTACAAAATGAAATCCCAATTAAAAACTCTGCACTCTCAGGCTAGGGTAAACTTCCCAGTTGAAGAACACAACAATTTACCAGGAAGTTGATGTGCTCTGAGTTCATGAGGAGAAGATACAGAAGCTCTGTATTTGGGACCTTGTATGTGTCTTAATTTTGCTGGTCCTGATTTGTGTCCTTTATAATAAAACCGTAATCATTAAAAATATCACTTTACTGAGTTCTGTTAGTTGTTCTAGCACATTATCGAACCTGAGGGGGTCATGGGAACCCTACAAATTTATAGCCAATTGGTCATAAATGCAATGATCTGGGAGCTCCCAAATTTGTGGTTCTGAAGTGGGAACAGTATGGTTGGGGATGATGACCTTGACCTCTGTAGTATGCACTAACTCCGAGTGGGGAACATCAGAATTGTACTGCAATATTACACTTGTGTTCCTCTTCCCCCAGCACAAAAATAAATAACCCAACACTCACTTTGCCTTTGTCAAAATATGATATTATTTCTTGATACAACTTTTCTTTAAGTTCCTGCTGGGTATACACATAGTAACTGTCCCTCTGAAGCAAATGGGGCATACAGGGCTTGTCAGACCACTAAAAAGACACAAAAGCAACAAAAAAGATTAATGCAACAAATTAATTAACTAATTAAAAGAGATAAATGTAACAAATATTCAATACCCCCCAAATCTGAAACAAATATTCAGCCAAAAAAAAAAAAAAAAAAAAAAA